AAAGCAGGGGTTGGCAAGGTTTACCTCGCCTGGGCCGGTTCACTCCAGCGGAGAACCCTCCATGGGCCAGACACAATTTCTGGCGCCTTGGAAGCGAGTCCCTGCGCTGCGCCGGTTTAGCGCAGTGCGTGGGAACTCGCCGAGGGGGCAGCTCGGTTCAGGGGCAGCTCGTAAGATGGTTAAACAATCCCCATGGGCTGCTTGTGGCCCATGGGCCTTAGGTTGCTTACCCCTGCTGTAAAGGCATGCCGTATTTCTGCAGAATTATTTTCCATTTACTGTCCGTTCAATGCCTTTTTAGCATTTAGTCAACTTTACCATGAGAGCCATTGTCCAAGCAGGCAACTGCAAATTATCCAAACCCTTCCAGTTTTTTGTGCAATCAGCAGATGAGCTACAGCCAGTGGAAGTGGGATCTGTTCTTTATGCAGAAGGTCCTTCTGTTTATCCTTTCCCCCCCCCTTAAAAATGTGAATAAGCCCACCTCATTTTGCCTTCGTTCATTCTGTCTTGACTGTGTCAACATCCTGAGCCACAAGATTGTAGTTACTGTGGCCTTTGTACGTTAATCCTTTTAGAAAGAACCTTTGTATGGTGATAGTTATTCAGCAGCTGGTTATACAGGCTGCTTTTTGAGGAAAGTTGGTTCCTTTTTCACCCAAGCCTTGGAGACCTTTGGGATTGTGGGATGTGTGGCTTCTATTCCAGTTGGGTTCACTCGCGGGTGGCACTGTGGGTTAAACCACAAAGCCTAGGACTTGCTGATCAGAAGGTCGGTGGTTCGACTCCCCGTGATGGGGTGAGCTCCCGTTGCTCGGTCCCTGCTCCTGCCAACCTAGCAGTTCGAAAGCATGTCAAAGTGCAAGTAGATAAATAGGTACCGCTCTGGTGGGAAGGTAAATGGCGTTTCTGTGCACTGCTCTGGTTTGCCAGAAGCGGCTTAGTCATGCTGGCCACATGGCCCAGAAGCTGTACGTCAGCTCCCTCGGCCAGTAAAGCGAGATGAGTGCCACAACCCCAGAGTCGGCCATGACTGGACCTAATGGTCAGGGGTCCCTTTACCTTTACCTAGCTCCTTTTTCACCCAAGCCTTGGAGACCTTTGGGATTGGGGGATGTGTGGCTTCTATTCCAGTTGGGTTCACTTGCGCAGGTTTTATGGCAGACACCACTTCTATTGCTTTTTCTGTTACATTAAGTGCACTTAATGTGCCAGTGTGCAAAGTGGTGTGTAGAGCCTTGTGTGTCTCAACAGATACAGAGTCTGATATTTCTGGGCTTGCAAGGAACACAGGTATCTAGCTTATATTGAGTCAGACCATTGATCCATCTAACTCAGTAGTGCTTACACTGACAGGCAGTGGCTCTCCAGGATTGGGTTCTCTCCCAGCCCCACCTGGAGATGATGGGGATTGAACTCGGGCCCTTCTGCACACAAGGCAAATCCTGTACCACTAAGCTAAGGTGGAGCAGATCGTCAGAACCCATTTGGAGCCCCATGGCCATTACAAGTTTCACAGAAGGAGAGGTGAATCCCAGCTTATTCCCCAAAGAAGTAATTTCCCCAGCCCTAGCATAAGCTTCTTTTGGAGTTAATCAAACCTGCAGTTGGTACAGTCCTCCAAAACCCACAGAGACTTGAGTGCCTCTGTGGATTTCAGTGGGGCCCAAGAGGTTTTTGGAGAATTGTGCTCAGTTTTAAGCATCGATGAATCCATGTTGGTTTCTTGGTGACTCCAGAAGTGAACATTTCAATTGGAAGGAAAGAACAACTGGCTTCCATTGACTCCCCAAGTATTCTGGCATTGCACTTGTGAGGTGTTTAAATGATTTGATGGTGTTTAACTGCTAGCTGCATGCTGCTCCTATCTGAATAAGACTTGCAAAATCTCTGTATTTTGACATCACCTGGCTTTGATTGCCTGTTGATACAGAATAACATGAGTCCATCTGTCTGTGGATTCTGTGTCTGTTGTGTATTCTTCACACACTGCACGCAACTCCTTCCTAAATGTTTTTGATTCTCAAAAGTGTGTTAATTGCCACATGTAACGAAGAGGGAAGAATGCCAAACCAATCACCTTCCTACTTCCATTTAAAATATCACCCTGTAGATGCATATGGTCCATTTCATGCCCATAATAGTCATCTCTGTTTTCAAGTTTTTCCTCTGTTACATAATATGGGGGCATGAAGCACCAAGTCATTGTTTGTTTGTTTGCTTGTTTTAAAATGCATTTATTATAAAATGCTAGAATCTGCTTTCCAAATGGAAAACAAATCAAGAACAGCTAAACACAACTATAAGAATGTCCATAGATAATTAGGAACAATAATAAATAATGGACTTCATTCTGTTTGTTAATGCAAGGATTATTGCATTTGCAGACAGGTGAGTTTTAATGTTGCACAACAGAGGAATCCAACACAAAAGCTGCATTGGTGAGAAATGGTTCAGCAAAAGTTGCCATCCACCTGCTTATGTATTCCCTTCTGCCAAATGACATCCAACAGCAGAACAAGTATACTGCTCTACATTGGCCACAACCCAATACATTGGCCTAGTGAACCTCAGTTTGTTGTGCTTTCCTTAGGCCAGCATCCCTACAAGGGAGTGGAGCAATGAACATGAAGCCACCTTCTGTGCCGTGCTCTAGTTTCTACACCCAACCCTCTCTATCCATCCAGGCAAGCAGGGAGGTGTTATGGGAGTTCAGGACACATTCCAGCCAGGCAGAAACACCGGAGGAAGGAGCAAAGTCAGAAATAAGCAACAGTGACTGAGGAGAGTCCCAAGGATGCTCCATCCCTGTTACAATTTCCGAAATTCCCGTCTGTCCCATCAGTTAAATATAAAGTGTGGGGAAAGAGAGGGGCCAATACCAGAGTTCAGTCATTGCAGGCCAACTGGGAGAATCTCCTTGTGTGTGGATGGTGCTGTTTCGGCCAAGTAAGGATTGGTACCTGGGAACATGGGTTTGCTATTAGGGAAGGCGTGGGGGGTATTTTGGCCTTCCAGATGTTGCTGAACTCTACAACTCCCATCAGCCCAAGCAAGCATGGCCAGTGGACGAGGAAGATAGGAGTTGTTCAGCAGCAATGGCAGGGCCCAGTGTTCCCCACCTCTAGAGCAGTGTTGTTGTTGTTGTTGTTAGTTGAATTTATATACCGCCCCGTACCTGGGGGTCTCAGGGCAGTTCACAGAGTAAAATCAAGATATAAAACCACAAAATACATGGAGGACACCCTGTCATTCTACATTGTAACTTGGGCGACTTGCACTGAGCAATAAAATGACATACCATCATTTGTTGATCAGAGAGCAGATAGGAATCAGTCTCATAAAAGTTAAATAGCTCCACCGTGGCCTCTTAAAACAAATAAACACAAAGGAAACCAGTGAGGCAGATTTGCACAGTGACATCTTCCTTAAAAACTCTGTCTTTATTATTTATTTATTTATTGAATATACAGTATATATGTATATGAATATACAGTATACAGTATATATATATACAGTACCACCTTATACCAGCAGGTCTCAGGGCATCTTCACAGAAAAAAAATCAAAATATAAAAACAAAAAATTCATAATCAAAATACAGTGGTACCTCTAGATACGAACGGGATCTGTTCTGGAGCTCTGTTCGCATCTAGAGGTAAACGTAACTAGCGACAGCATGTCTGCGCGCGCCACTTTTCGCTGCGCATGCGCGTGACGTCATTTTCAGTGTGCGCATGCGCAAGCGGCGAAACCTGGAAGTAACGTGCTCTGTTACTTCCGGGTTGCTGAGGAGCGCAGCTCGAATGCGCTCAACTTGAAGCATATTTAACCCAAGGTATGACTGTAAAAACAACCACCACCCAATAGCACCCCCCCCAAAAAAACCCCACATTTTAAATGGGCCTAGGATGTCAAATCAACCAAAAGGCCTGGTTAAAAAGGAATGTTTTTGCCTGGCGCCTAAAGGTGTATAATGAAAGCACCAGGCGAACTTCCCTGGGGAGAGCATTCCACAGACGGGGAGCCACTGCAGAGAAGGCCCCATTCTCGTGTTGCCACCCTCTGGACCTCTCAAAGAGGAGGCACATGAAGAACTGTAGATAGAACTCTAAAGCTTGCATTTATATCTAGGCAGCTTTGTTAAGTGGGCAGTGTGGAAAGCTGCCGTGGTTAGCAGAAAGGTGAGGTGAGATTTCATACTTGGAAGAAAACAAGAGAGCAAACCTTCCCTTCAACGCTAGGTGGCACCCAAGCTTTTTATTTTCTGGCAGCCTCAGGCATTTCCTCCTCACCTTGCCCCTCAGCTTGGCGAATGAAAGAATCCCGTCCCATCCCATGAAGGGGATGTGGCTGCTCACAGAGGCATGAAACATCCTGTGCTAATCACAGCAAAACAAAGGAGCATGCGAAGCGTGTGTTTTAGCACTGTGCGGAGGTCCTTCCCTAAACAGAGTTGCACAATTAACCCGTTTGAATGCACATGATGCTCTGCTAACCCCACTAGCCACATCCCCAGCGTACGTCTAAAGTACTAGGATGCCACTTTAAAGAGCAATGGCTTTCCCCAAATAACTGTGGGAACTGTAGTTCACCAAGAGAGTAGAGGTTTGCTGGGAGACCCCTGTTTCCCCTCACAGGGCTGCAATTTGCAGAGTGCCCTGGGATTGATTAATAAAACACACGGGGATGTATAGCTCTGGGAGTGGGGGGGAAGCACCCTTAACAAACTACAGCTCCCAGAATTCTAATCATAGCGCTTATCTGCTTAATTACGAATTTGGTTTGGCATTTTCCCTCCCCAACCCCTTTCCAAATCATGTAGCTCTTTAACTCCTTGCAAATTCTAAGCCTTGATTTCTGACATGGTGCCACTCTGCTGTATCTGTTTCTTTCCCTTCCTGGTCCATGTTGACAACAACAACAACTTAAGCTGAATTTCTCTCTCTTTCTTCCCAACCCCTGCCCTCCTTCTCCCCCCCCCTTTTCTTTTTTTACAGCCTAACCCCCTGGAGCTGCCGATGCTGTTGTCCTACAAACCGCGGGGGAACAGCTACACCTCTGAAGGAAAGCCAGGGACCTCCGTGACTAATTTTGCAGAACGTTGCCATCTCAGGATACTTCAGATGCAAAGATTTTAACCCCAGCACACAGTTCTAAACAAACAGCACTCTCGGAGTCAAAAATGAACGCTTGGAAGCAAATCAGGCCCACCAGAAAAAGAAAAAGAAGAAAAATACAAATGGTTCTATATTTTGGTTAGGCTTTTTTGCTTTCTTTTTTTTAAGAGGACCTTTGGTTTGCATTGTGATTTTTTTTAAAAAAAATCAACATAAAGGGGGGGTGCCATCCTTTTCATCTGTTCCTCCCCCTTCCTAATGCAAGTTTTGAGAAAGCAACCCGGCTGTTTTGATGACAAGAATTGTGTGAGATTTTTGCCCGCTGCAATGGGCAGATCTGTCCTCTGTTCAGCCATCTTCACCCTTGTCCAAGGAAGAGGAAGGGCTGTGCATGGCTCTGCCCCCCCCTTCCAACCAAAGATATAGCACAAGTGGTATGTTACAGTTCCCCCAAAATAGCACTAGGAATTTTTGGTAGGTAACCATTCTGTCGCTAAGCCATAAACGATGTTTGTTGGCGGAATCTTAATTTCCCCCATCGTCACCCCAGTTCCTCTAATGAGAAAGTTGTGCCATACCCTTTAAAAGGACAATGTGGACATTTAGAGAAAACACACACACCCCATTTTTTTCTCCCATCCAATCCGACCCATCAGGAATACCTGAAAAACAAAACAACTGAAGCACCCACTCTCCCAGACATCTACGTCCATCTCAAAACCTGAGGTTAATTCCCACCTTTTTGAAATGTGTCCTTTGTCCAGGCTCTCTCTTCTCCCACCAAACAGGTATCTCACAGCCAAAGTGAACATGCACCTATTCCCCCCACCCACCCAAACTCTAGATTGGTGTCCTTTGGCTGTGTGAAAATGTGGGACCTGCGTTTTCTGACCTGCTTTGACTTCTGCTGTGATGGGCTTGCGCACCTGCCTTTTGGATGGAGGTTGCCACATGGCCTAGAATGTATGACTTCTTCACAAGCTCAAGTCAGTGTCCCGAGCGCCGTTGAAGGATGCAAGCCATGGGTTCTTTGCTGTGCTAACCTTGTCCTCCTCTTCCGTATTCTGTTGAGCGGGTGGCAGGTCCAACCCATGAGACATCAGCACTCCCTCCCTCCCCCTTTTTTTTGAAAGAGAGTGGGATGCAAAACCTAAAACAGCCTGTACTGTTATCCCTTCTGTTCTGTGAAGGGAGGCAGGAGATGCATCACCTTCAGTCTCCTCCAAAGTGTGGCACATCTTAGTGGCCAATTCCAACAATAGGTTTCAAAGACGTCCCCTGCAGAATCCTTTCAATGTGGACACCTGGCGCTATTTTGCATGTGCAACGCCAAGCATGCCTTCAGCTGCACGTGTCTGGTGGGTGCATGCGTTTGCCGCCATGTAGTGTCTGATGCGGCTCGTTTGGGCACATGCAGTGGACACAGAGCACCACGGGTTCCCCCTCCCTCTCCTTTACCGTGAGTGTTGCACACAACCTCAGCACTTCCTGCAACGGTAGAAGAGGCCCTGTAGAAAACTGGTTTGGAATTTACGATTCAAGTTAAAAGAGTGTAAGCTTCGGTTCACACATTGCTTCTATGCAAGGCAAAGGATATTCACCAGCAGCAAGCAGTTCCACAACAGTAGGGCATATGTATGGTCCAGTTAAAACATTTTTGTAGCAGATCTGAGCCTGTGATGATGTAGCGTGTGGCGACTGGGGCTGCTCCTAAAACTCCCCAGCATTTAATCGAGGTTCAGTCTTCCTTTGCTCATTCTTTCCCCGTTGCCACCTCTTTTTTAAAAAAACGGGGCCAGTAAATCAGAACTTCTCATTTCCGCTGTGCCTACAAAGGACATATTGGAGAATTGCTAGATGTTACTGGGGAGGCTGGCAATGACCCACATCTCTCGGGAAAGAAAGCAGTGGTGTGGTTCTTGCCACTCTTGGAATAACAGTTCTTAATTTGATCCATGTCTCACCTGCAGTGTCCAGATAGGTCCCAAAGGCATCTTGAATGGCGGCCCGAGTGCCAAACCATTTGGGAGAGATGTTTATATGCATATTTCAATCAGTGCTTTTGTGACTTCTCCAGTGCTAGTGCTGAAATGTTCAGCTCTAATGTTCTCTGTATCAGGGAAGGAGAACCTTGAAGTCCTCCAGATGTTCCTGGACCATAGCTGCCATCAGCCCCAGCCCACATGACTAGTGATAAAGGATTATGGGAGTTGTGGTCCACAACACCTGGGGGGTGGCAGGTTCCCTACAGGCAGCCTTCTGCCTAGTGGTTGTGATGAGGATTCACTCTGCACCCCCCATTTATTTTAGTTCGAGGAGTGTGGTGGTTTTATTGTGGTTTTGTTGTTGGGTTTTTTTTGGGGGGGTGCTTTTTATTCAAAGTGAGTCAGGAGAAGCCTCAAGCTTATCACCCATCCATCCACCCTCCCTACCCCCAAGTAACATTAATTTGGTAAGTTTACCAAAGTATGGTTTCTGCATTTTGTTGCTTTCGAAAATACCAAGCCGCCTCAGAGACAGTTTCATTTCAGCCCAGTCTACCCGAAAGTAACGTGAACCTAGCAGTTCATTGAGATTTATGCAGAGCCTTGGAGGAAGAAAAGAGGAAAGATGGCTTCTTTGAAATCCCTTTTGTAAAATGATGGGTTTGGTCTGGCCTACAACACAGAAAAGATGGGGGTGGGTGCTTAAAAAATGGACTGTGCCACTTTAGATAGGAGATGGGGGATCTCCCAATTGAATCCCCGTCCATTGTGTCCTCCAGTGGGATGGTGGTCAGACTTGCTTCACATGGAAAACTGGATTTTAGAGAGAAATGGCCTAAACAGCTTCCTGATGTGCTCCTTTTCATGGGAAACTCATTCTAACATGGTATAGTTCTGCTGCAGTTTTCCCAGGTGATTTGCTCTCTGCATAGACCGGGCCTTAATCAATACTAACCTTCTCTGCACTTCATTCTGTATTTTCCAGCAACTAAGTGTGGCTGGTGGCTTCTCTCCCTCTTCCCAAGGCAATTATTGCTGAAAATTTGCATATGGCCAGTGACACGGAATAAGCAAACAAAAAAATTAAATTCAGCTTTGCACCTGTGCCACACCAGTCCAAAGAGACTTGTGTCAATATCTTGAAACTTGCCTGACTTAAATCTGAAGCAGAACTTCTGGAAAATACATTTGTTCATTTGTTTTTGTAAATACGGGGTGGGGGGGGAGGGTGTAAAATTATATATACAGATTTTAAGATGCATTTTTCAGCTTCTTGCGAAAACCCAGCAGGACTGCATTCTTAATTTTTATCACTTCAACTGCAATTTTATACGTTCATGTTGCTTTATATAATGACAATGGAATGTGAATGTTAACTTTTATGAATGCAACTCGCTCCTTTTTTTTTCCTTATGAAAACAAACCTTTTTGTTTTTTGTTTTGAAATAATCAATAAACTTTGGTATGTTCTGATTGAGCTTGGTGAAGTTTGTTGTCTTAAGTCAGGGGTCCTCAAACTATGGGACGCGGGCCGAATCCAGCCCGCCAGGGTCCTCAATCCGGCCTGCCTAGCCATTGCAGAACCCGCTGCGAAGCCATTGAGGAGACTCAAAGCACTTTGGAGAGCTTGCCTTTAAGCAGAGCAGGCGGGAGGGAAAGAGGCGGGTCAGGATTTCCCCCTCCTGGCCCTGCCTTGCCTTGCGGCCTATCTCTCCCCACATGTCCGCCTCCCTCAATCGCCAGCCACCATGCTGCTCGCTCACGCCCTGTGCTCCGCCGCCCTCTCCACCTGATCCAGCCCTGTTATCCTTGCAGCCCAGCTCGGCGGCCCCAACCACTGCCTCCTCCGGCCGGGCTCAGCCTCCGTTGCCTGCGGCTGCCCCCACACTGATGGTGAGCTATGCTCAGAAGGCAGGGAAAGGGCGAAGAAGGTCGCTCACAAGGAGCGCAGGGCTCCAGTGCTTACTCATGAGGAAACACCCTTGGGGCCGCTGGGGATCGCGTCCGAGGAAAAAGACGGCTGCCATCATCCTAGCGAGTCCTGAGAAAAGTGCTTGGGAGCTGGGCTGCAATCCAAGGCACGCTTGCTCGCAAGGAAAACTCCTCAGCATCGGGTTGCTCACAAGTAAACGTCTGTGTGCCATCCAAGACGAGCCCAGGCGGAGGCAGGCTTTGAAAAAATAAATGTTATGGGTTCATCCGAATCTCCGCCCCCGAAGTGGGACTGAGCAGTTACTGAATTTCCACCCCACATTTTTTCTCCCTGGAGCTTAAGGTCTGTGGTTCCCCACAACCCTCAATGAGACGCATTCAAATCAAGCGCCTCTCTGAGACATATCTTAATCTCAGAACCATGCACTCAAATTTGCAACCATCTTTGGCAGCACCTATGTCTGTGAACAGACTTTTTCCCGAATGAAACATCTGAAATTTCCAACCAGATCCAGACTAACTGATGAATACTTGCATCACTTGCTACGACTAGCAGTGACAAATATGGAACTGGATATTGACCATCTCATTTGCCAAAAGCAGGCCCATACTTCCCATTGAAATACTTATTGGTCTGACACAGTTGAAATAATTTAAATTTATATACACACACACACACACATATATAAAGTTTACGTTGATTAAAATCGTTCTTCATTTTAAATATTGTATTTTTCCTGTTTTTTGTGCACTAGAAATAAAATATGTGCAGTGTGCATAGGAATTCATATTTTTTCCAAAGTATAGTCCGACCCCCAACAGTGTCTTAGGGACAGTGAACTGTCCCCGTTTAAAAAGTCTGAGGACCCCTGTCTTAAGTGAACCTGACTTTTCTGTGTAATAAGCACAAATCACACACACAAAAATGCTATTTTTGAGCTATTTTAAGGGGAAATTGGCAAAACCGGCACTGCTGACATGGGCAGCCATATGTTCAGATTTTCCCAGACGTTTAGCTGATTTCCACTTGGACGCTGCTGATGAATGCGGTATTCTGTATGTCCGGGAAATTCCAGATATATGGCAAACCTAGCAAAGCATTTGGGGGTGGCAGTGGGTAATGCTGCTCCCCCTTCACTTTACTCTTTCGCTTGCAGACCCAGACCATAATCACATCTTCCAGCTTGAAAATAGCTTCTTGTCCACAGCCAGGTAAAATCACTTATCGGCACAGAAGCATTGAAATAATGCTTCCCCTTCCTCCCCATTTTTAGGTTGCAGGTCAGCCAGCTAGCCAATTTCTCTTAGGGGGTCTAGCAATTTTGCAAATGTATTTGTAAGACTACAGGCAACACTTGCTGTGTCCTTTCATTTCTCTCACCTTTTTTGCAGCTGTTTATAGGGGCTGTTTCCACAGCGTTTCAGCTGCATGAAAGAAAACAGTACAGTGGTGCCTTGCAAGACGAAATTAATTCGTTCCGCGAGTTTTGTCGTCTTGCGATTTTTTTCGGCTTGCAAAGCACGGTGTCGGGAAAGTTTTGGAAAACCTTCAAAAATCACCAAAGTCTTCAAAAACCTCAAAGAAGGCTACCACACCGCGTGCTATGAGTTGCTCCTCGAAGTCAAGTCGCAACTGTATTAACAGTGTTAAGAAAAAGGAAACAAACTTGCAAGACGTTTCCGTCTTGCGAAGCAAGCCTATAGGGAAAATCGTCTTGCGAAGCAGCTCAAACAAAAAACCCTTTCGTCTAGCGAGTTTTCCGTCTTGCGAGGCATTCGTCTTGCAAGGTACCACTGTATCCCCCAAAAATATATTTAAAAACCCAGAGAAGTATCAGTGGTTCAAAAGCCAGGAGCAGTTGGGAGGATGGAACTAAAATCATATTTTAACAGGGCATTTGGGATGCTCAACTGCAAAATACTAAGGGGGGGGGGAGTACCTATTTCTACTCCAGTTTCAAACAAGTACTGCAGTGGCTCAGCCACATGGTGTATTCCATGGACACAGTAGTACAAAGAGACTGTAGTAGCAGTACAGTGGTACCTCTGGTTGCGAACAGGAGGCCCGTGTGCAACATGAAAAGAGCACAACCCGTAGCAGCACATTTGAGCACGCCCGGGTTACGATTTGGTCTTCTGCGCATGCGCGTGATGTCATTTTTGCGTGTCTGCGCATGCGTGAGCGGCGAAACCCGGAAGTAACCCTTTCCGGTACTTCCGGGTTGCCACAGGACTTAACCTGAAATAACGTACCATGAAGGAAACGTAACAGGAGGTATGACTATTTGGTAAAATGAACACCACCACCCCAAATCCAATTTGGGAGAGGAGCAGCTATGTATATCGCTTCAATAGATTGAAAGCTTCTTCAGGAAACAGGATCAAAATCCCCCTCCTCCATTTGAATAAGAACAAAAAATGATAATAACTTTCTCTCAAAAGAATGAGGGCAGTGTCTGCCTGTCAAATTTCCGAACCTCTAATGTAAAAAAAGCAGCAGCAGCATAATTATACAGCCCACACAGGACATAAGTGCCTTTCCCCCACAAACTTTTTTGATGTGAAATGACAGCTTACATAGAACTTGGAACAAAGCTGCTATATAGAGTTAACATTCCACCACACTCAACGTGCGCATACCTAATTGAAAAGCAGTGCAGTGATTCATCTGGCTGTCCTACTTCCTTTTATCACTAAACATGCATAGGACTGCACTGTTAAAAGCAGGGATAGTTGGTACTTAAAAAAACCCCAACAACAATATTTGTTGGGAATTTTAAATACATTATCCTTCATTATTTTTGTATGCTGCTAAACATGGTTCTAAGGTTACGGAGTGGCAATGTGAAAGTGCTTTGTTTTTTTTAAAGAAGGAGAAGTGTGATTTAGGACATTCTTTCTCTCTTTTGTTGGACTGACACAAGGAACGTCCAGTATGCGATGAACAGATGGTGCTCACTGCCATAAGCTGTCCTCCCTTTACTGGCAGTAGTTCTGGACTTCTATAACAGCTGAGAGTGCCAGGCAGAAATCCTGCAGGTGAATCTCCCTACACTGCTGAACTGAAGTTATTTGGTTGCAGATAATGTTAAAAGTGGAAGGAGGACCAGAGCTCAGTGGTTAGAGCACATACTTTTGGATGCAAGGAACTCAATCCAGGTTAGACCTTGGGGAAAGGCTGCAACTCAGTGGCAGAGCATCCTCTTTGCATCCAGAAAGGCACCAAGGTTCAACCCTTGGCATCTCCAGGTAGGTCTGGGACAGTCACCCTGCCTGGAACCCTCGAGAGCCTCTGACAGTCATAGACAGTTCTGAGCAGATGCAGATTTAGGGGAGTGCAACTGGTTCGGTCTTACTGGGTGCGAAGCCTCGAGGATGCTGCATATATGATGTACATAGAAAGAGATTATTTAAAAAAAACTTTATTCGCATTAGCCAATGGACATAGCAACAGTAAAACATTACAGCATATGCAGAAAATGAAATTTGATATAAAAGCACAATTTAAAGTCCTGAATATGATGTACATAAAGTGGAAGGCAAGAAGTGGAGGTAGCTGAATTTTGGCAGCCCACAGGGCGCTGCTGAACCCAAGGTCCACCACTGTACTGAGCTAGATTGTCCCATGATCTGGCTCTGCATAAGGCAGCTTCTTAGATTACTTAAATATTTCCCCTTTTCAGCACTGTGAAGACTAGAGTCTAAAATTATCATTTAAGGGGTGCATGCTGGTGCGTCACAGCTTTGGTTTCCTGGATTTCCAGGTAAGGCTGACCTAGGTGGGCCAGAGATCTGACTCTGCCTAAAGCAGCTTTAAACACACACCCCTCCCCAGCCTGAAACTCTTGAGACACACAATCCTGTTAGTACAGACAGTCCTGAGCTAAGTGGACAAAGTATCTACCTAAGTGCACCTTGCGCTTCTAGAGGCGCTTTGAGAGCTGGCACAAGGGGTGCCAATTTGGATAAAATGGGGGTGGCAGCAGGTAAGCCCCGTCCCACATAATCACATGACACAGCACACACACAATTTGAATGGTAACGCCCGTCAACGGAGTAGAGTAGTAGAGTTTTTTCTCTCTCTCTGCCTTTTTAAAAAGAGATGTTTCCACTTTGTAAAAGCCTTTGTGGCCTTAAGCTACATTTTTTATGATTTTTTTTAAACCAGGTTGGTTGAAAAGGTAGAGGCAAAGAGGTGTCACTAGCAGTAATGACATTAGATGACTTCACATTACAAGAAAATGCTGTCATGTTACTCAGAAGATCTTACTAGCAAATGATCAGGAGTAAAACTTTCACGCTAGAAAAGACAGTAGAAGTTGGTACCTGTGTTGGGTAGTGTTTCTGAGCTTGAGAGGGCAAACTGTTAAGTATTAAAATAATATCTTCCAGCGATGTAATTGTTGTGTCTTGAGATATATTGGATATTGTGATTGACTTGAAGTTCCTATATGCTTTCCCCTATTTTGTTAGAATAGAAGGCGGTACCTATAGTGATTGAACAGTTTAAAAATAAAACTGGTAAAAGATGGAATGTCACTCCTGTCTTAATGTTAGATGTTGCAAGCGGATTAGTGAAATTAGGGTTAGACTACAGATGAGTTACTGTGTTTCTGCCTAAAGTAGATATTTCTTAAATTGAATTTTGAGATTGTCACAGGAATTTTGGATACACCTTTCCAGCGTCTTCCTTTATTAAAGGGCTTCTCTCAGCAGCAATGCCTGTCATAACACCCCAGCCTGATACATCCTGCATTATCTCATGTTGTTTGACAGTGTGGCTAGTTAGTAGAATCTATAGTGTTTTTGGAAAAGTAGCCTAAAGAATGGATTACTAGGAACTTGGCAACACATCTTAATATTGCTGCTATTTAGGGATTGATTGACCTAAGGGCTGGAACTTTAAATCTTTTCTACAGAACAAACTGACAGGTCAGTTAATACTCCTAATGCCTTTGATTTCAGTATGTTGTTTTGCTGATGTATTGTAAGCAGAGGTTCAGTTAGGTTTATTGAATCTTGATTGTGTAGCTAACAAGCTGAAATACAATATTAATTACATCCAGGTAGTTTAAGAAATTGTTTCACACATGTGTATATATACCTTTTCCTCCCCTAAAAAGCAAATCACACTAGCTAAAGAACTTTTTGTAAGCTGGCACTGAAACATTTTATGTTTGGTTGCACCGTGTTTGAAGCTTTTTACAGTGCAATACTTGTATTATTCTGTCAATTTAAACCAAAGGTAATTTTTTTTCATGCTTTCTCTCTACTGTAGTGCATGAAGAGCTTTTATATGTTTGTAATAGATGTAAAATCAGAAAAGATCACATATCCTGGGTTTTTTATTTACCTAAACTATGTACAAGCCTTTGTCCAAAATGTAAGGTGTTAAACTAAATTGCATATTAACCCATGAGTGTATTTTCCTAAGCATAGTTATGTCAATAAACTTTATTAGGGGGGGCTGCCCCCCTCATATATTTTATTGGGAGGGGAGATCTCTCGTTGGTCTGTAGGGGTTGGCTTCTATGGCAAGGTGGCTCTTACACTAAAGGAAAAGCCATACACTCACAGCGCTATGCAGCTCTCCGCTGCATAAGGGCCAAATCAGACTGGAGACGTCTTGCAGGCCTCCCCTGAAGATCCAAGCCTATGAAAGATCCTCTCTAGCGTGTCCTCTCCCTAACACCAACCTGTCCCCAAGCCTGATGTAAAGAGGGGTTCTCAGGCATGTGTCTCCAGCATTATACATGAACGGGAACAGCGCTCCGGTTTAAAGCCAGTGGCGGTGCAGTGCCTATGGCTTTGTCTCACATACAGGTGAAAGTGCAAAAGTTCATCAAGAAGTTTCAGGTCAATATCTTCTGGGTAGATATTCCATCAACAATTCTACACCTTGCTGAATTCCTTGCTTAGATACTATCAGGATAGCACGAATGGAAAACAATTCTGCAACACAATACCTCTTTTTAAATTGCCTTCAAGTGCATCTAATAAAGGAATATAGGAATAAAGGGTTTTATCCTAAACTTATCTCTTGAAGAAAGTGCATCTAAGGCATCAGGTGCACTACTGTCATTTCTTTGCCGTGCCCTCACTCTTTGTCTCCTTGTTTTATAATTGACATTGAGCAAGTTGGCTTTTGCCTATTTCTCAAGCTCATCAAAATCTTCTCTGATTTTCCTTTAAAAATACAGAAAACTCAACTTCTCTAGAGCTTTGCTGAGTTGTTCTTTCAAACAAGGTCTATCCTCTTCTGTGTCTCCTATTTGCAGCTCTTGGATCTTGCTAGCTGGCTTCTTAAGAAAAAGAAAATGGGCAAGATGTCAGTGCTGTGCTCTAGCCATGCAAGTGCCAATATTCTAACTTTACCCCAAAAATGTTATAAGAACCTTTAGCACACCATGTATATATCAGTTTTTCTCAAAGACAGACTCCAACTTGTGTCTGACCATCTGTGCACATCACTGCAAGTCATGACTTACTGTAGATGAGCAAATTACGTCTTTGCTCCTCGCGGCTAGTGCTGGAGTAAGGAAAAATAAACCACAATGTTAAGTCAAGGTTTCTTCTTGGTGTACCAATCATGGTTTGTTTCACTCCAATCTCCAGTTTGTTTGTGTACAGTAAACCTTGGGTTATGGCTTGACATGACACTAAAATGTTCAGCTGTAATACACAACTGCCTTGCAGAATATCTTTGGGAGAAGAAAAGGCTTAAGGAGTAAACCGTACACTAATTTGGAGTGGAGTTCCTAAGATGGTTGGATGGTGCCTTGCACACCTCCTTCTGGCAACACCTGCTGCCATGTTGGTGCTAAACGTGTTGCTCTGCTTCTCTATGGACCACATCAGTGAGGTCAGGGGGGGGCGGTCTTGTCTTCTGGGTAGCCCCGGACCTCCATACACACTGCCCAGGCTTGCTCCCAGGAAGGTCACTTCAGTGCTGTTAACAGTGTGATTTGACTTCACTCCTGGAGGCGTACTCCATTGCCTCTCAGGACTGACTGATGCCGACAACAAGCAAGACACAACAATGACCAGGTGACTGCTTTACCTGCAAGCCACCCACCACAAAAGCAAGCAGGCCCTGCATTCAGCTCCCCTCCAAACCACAGTGGAGCCAAGTTCTTACTGTAGAACATATACCAGAAAATTCTGCAACCATCCATTGCTTATAGTGGTGAGAAGTCCTGGGAAATAAGGTCTTAACGTCGCATCACTAACAGAGGGCTTTTCAACCCTCCAAAAGGGCAGAACGCACTGCTAATATAAACTGACAAGTGTTTTTCAGAAGGTCCACTCTTTTTCTAGCATGCATTAGTTGGGGGCTAACTGATTTAAATAAATTCAAATCCAATCCTGGCCATTCTTCCATGCCGCAACTCAGGAAAGTGGCTGTTTTCACATGTCACAGCAAACCATTGATTTCAGTCTACCTTGATTTCAGCAAGGCATTTGACAAGGTGCCCCATGATATTCTTGTAAAGAAGCTGGTAAAATGCGGTCTTGACTATGCTACCACTCAGTGGATTTGTAACTGGCTGACTGACCGAACCCAAAGGGTGCTCATCAATGGTTCCTCTTCATCCTGGAGAAGAGTGACTAGTGGGGTGCCACAGGGTTCTGTCTTGGGCCCGGTCTTATTCAACATCTTTATCAACGACTTGGATGATGGACTCAAGGGCATCCTGATCAAATTTGCAGATGACACCAAACTGGGAGGGGTGGCTAACACCCCAGAGGACAGGATCACACTTCAAAACGACCTTGACAGATTAGAGAACTGGGCCAAAACAAACAAGATGAATTTTAACAGGGAGAAATGTAAAGTATTGCACTTGGGCAAAAAAAATGAGAGGCACAAATACAAGATGGGTGACACCTGGCTTGAGAGCAGTACATGTGAAAAGGATCTAGGAGTCTTGGTTGACCACAAACTTGACATGAGCCAACAGTGTGACGCGGCAGCTAAAAAAGCCAATGCAATTCTGGGCCTCATCAATAGGAGTATAGCATCTAGATCAAGGGAAGTAATAGTGCCACTGTATTCTGCTCTGGTCAGACCTCACCTGGAGTACTGTGTCCAGTTCTGGGCACCACAGTTCAAGAAGGACACTGACAAACTGGAACGTGTCCAGAGGAGGGCAACCAAAATGGTCAAAGGCCTGGAAATGATGCCTTATGAGGAACGGCTAAGGGAGCTGGGCATGTTTAGCCTGGAGAAGAGGAGGTTAAGGGGTGATATGATAGCCATGTTCAAATATATAAAAGGATGTCACATAGAGGAGGGAGAAAGGCTGTTTTCTGCTGCTCCAGAGAAGCGGACACGGAGCAATGGATCCAAACTACAAGAAAGAAGATTCCACCTAAACATTAGGAAGAACTTCCTGACAGTAAGAGCTGTTCGACAGTGGAATTTGCTGCCAAGGAGTGTGGTGGAGTCTCCTTCTTTGGAGGTCTTTAAGCAGAGGCTTGACAACCATATGTCAGGAGTGCTCTGATGGTGTTTCCTGCTTGGCAGGGGGTTGGACTCGATGGCCCTTGTGGTCTCTTCCAACTCTATGATTCTATGATTCTATGATTCATTATTTACTGTTAATGCAAGATGCTGCGTACTTCACTCCTCTCATAGCACAGACTACATATCACAATATAAGTACAAAAACAAGTGCAGTTTTGCTTGCTTTTTTGCAGTTACAGGATTAAAGGTAAAGGACCCCTGACAGTTAAGTCCATTCGCAGATGACTCTGGGGTTGCGGTGCTCATCTTATTTTACAGGCCGAGGGAGCCGGCGTTTGTCTGCAGTTTCTCCGGGTCATGTGGCCAGCATGACTAAGCTGCTTCTGGTGCAACGGAACACCAAAACCAGAGCAGCACATGGAAACGCCATTTACCTTCCCGCCTTTGAGCTCCAATATCACCGGAACCTGCCATTTTACTAGACATTTTCTGCCATTAAACCTTAATATTGAAAGCCCTTGCTTGTTCCTTCAGCAATATATTGGTAGCTCAAAAGTGTTGTTGCCAAAGCCATACTGAGAGCTAGACATCATTTATATGTTAAGTTCCAGCTACATGCTGGCAACGCTGCCAAGTTTTGGAGGCTTGCAAAAAACCTTCCCACCAGAGTGGTACCTATTTATCTACTTGCACTTTGACGGGCTTTCAAACTGCTAGATTGGCAGGAGCAGGGACCGAGCAACGGGAGCTCACCCTGTCGCGGGGATTCAAAACACCGACCTTCTGATCGGCAAGTCCTAGCCTCAGTGGTTTAACCCACAGCGCCACCCGTGTCCAATATAGTTAGTAGGGGGTAATCAAGAAATTGTTGTTGCAAAAAAGGAAGGGGGAGGAAGCCTGCAGAGGGCATGCTCCCCACTCTCAGCTTCGTCCTTGAGAGAGGAGTAGGAACCTTTTCCATTCCAAGGGTGACATTCATTTCTTGGCAACCTTCTGGGGCCATATCCACGAGGGGTAAGAGAAAAACTGAACGTAAATTTCACCTTTGGTGAAGCAGGCTAGTTTCCACACACACACATATACTGCTTACCAAACCAACCTCAGACCCTGGAGTCCGTTCCTCTTCAGGAATTGTAACACTGGCTGTCATCCCTTGATCATCACATTCTGAGGATACAGCTGAAAGACAACCCATTTTGCCAAAAATTTAACCAATAAAAGTGTGTATACTTAAGATGCAGGTAAGGGAAGTAACAGTACCACTCTATTCTGCCTTGGTCAGGCCAAGCTTGGAACACTGTGTCCAGTTCTGGGCACCACAATTTAAGAAAGATATTGACAAACTGGAACGCATGCAAAGGAGGGCAGCTAAGAAGACCAAGGGTCTGGAAACCAAGACTTATGGGGAAAGGCTGAAGGAGCTGGGGGTGTTGAGCCTGGAAAGTAGGAGACTGCAGGGAAATATGATAGCCATCTCCATATATCTCAAGGGCTGTTACATGGAAGATAGAGCATGTTTGTTTTCTCCTACTCTGGAGCTGGACTTGAACCCATGGCTTCAACTTACAAGAAAGGAGATTCTGACTAAACAATCAGGAAGAGCTTTCATGACAGCAGGAGCTGTTCAACAGTGGAACGGACTCCCGTGGGAAGCTGTGGACTCTCCTTGGAGGTTTCTAAGCAGAGCTTGGATGACCATCTGTCATGGATGCCTTGGCTGAGATTCCTGCATTGCAGGGAGTTGGACAAGATGACGCTTGGGATCCCTTCCCATGCTACAATTCTGTGACTCTAAGTTCTTGAGACAAATGCAGAAAGGTGCAGTGAAAGGAACTGAGCTTTGATTGCCTTGGGGCCCAATGGGTTTAATTCTCCCCTGCCATGGGAGAAAGAAAACACGAGCAGCCAAATGCAAGCAGCGAGAGAGTTGGCTACATTAGCCTTTGCTAGCATTTGCAAGGAAGCCAGTTCTCCCTAGTGCCTAAAGATCAATGTCAGAATCCGACCTCTGGAGCAACCTGGAGATAAATGGAGCAGGCTAAGTTATGCCAAGAGCCCTCTTGCCCTTCTCTGAAAGCTTCAGATGTGGCAATAACATTCAGTATAATTAACATATGCAGCTTAAACACAGCTCTCAAAATGGGTGCAAGTGTTTAACTTATTTGCAGCTCACTGTGGATATTGGTTTAAACAATGTCTTATCTAAGTTCTAACTTATCCCAACCTACCATGCTTCAGCCCATATTTTATATGGCACCTTTTAAAAATAGTTTCCACGCATAACAAACTTACATGCTTTCATCTCTCCTAGACAAGGCTTTTTAAACTGTTTGGCTTTTTGGGAAAAGCTTCCCAGGAGACATTCCCCTGCTTCCTGGGATGTTGTTCCTGCAGACCAGGTCGCTCTCCTCTTCCTTGTCCTTGGAAACTTAAAACATAAAATAAAAATAAAAATCAAGGCACGTAGGAGAATTAAAGGAAGTGAGATATTTTTAAAAGCACAATCCCGTTTGCTGATGTCTTGGAATTTGTACATGGCCTAGTGATGTCAAATTCAGTTGAAGCTAGTTGTAAGTTCTACCATAAGCATTTGCAAAAAAGTTGCAAAGGGAGAGGGGAAACTTTCCAAAAACATGTTTGCAAGCACCATAAGCAACTTGAACTTGCTGTGTCTCACTAGTCGGGTGACAAGTAGTAGCGTCAGAATTCAACACAAAGCCTTATTTTGCGAGGCTGGGAGCCCGGGAGAGCGACATGAGAAGGACACAACTGCCACATGCCCTTTGATCCCAGTCCTCAGGGGTAAGGCTGGGACTGAAGGGCACATGGCAGCCTTCTCATGCCGCCCTCCACGAGCTGCCAAGTTGTGGAGGGCCCGGGGTGATGAGGGCTGGACTGGAGAGCAGCAGGCTCCATTCACCCTCCCGCTCTGCACTCCTGGCACCATTAAAGCACACTCAGTGCCTGTTCTTATACCAGCTTCCCGATATGAACTTCCTGCCTCATGCATGTATTAACAGAGCTATGTTAAACCTCCACACATTGGAAGGTCCTTTTCTACAGTGACACCCTTCTAGTCCTGCTGGTACTGGAAGTCTTGACAAGAAGTTGCCTCAGTTCAAGAGACTTTTCTTCTATCGGTTGGACCTGAGTCAGGTTTTATATAAAAAGAAACACACAATAAGTAAGTTCTGCTTTCTTACTCAGTTTTATGAAGGGTTTACCTTAAACCACGCATTGGAAGGTCCTTTTCTGCAGTGACACCCTTCTAGTCATTCCCAGGCTTCCCTCGCCCCATTTTATTACTTAATAACAGCTGATACAAGAAATGTGGAAGAGCCACCAGTTCTCCATCAAAGGTCCCACAACACTTAAATTTTTAAATATTACCTTGAACTCTTGCGCTGATGCAAGAGAAGCTGACGTCACCAGCATCTCAGTGAGATTCTTTATTTTCTCCTGCAGCTCATTTTGAAGAGCATACTTCTCTTCAACAATCTCTGCCGGCTGGGATTGTGATGAGATCTACCAAGGGAAAGCATCAATACCAAACGTCGAAAGGCACAAAATGTTGTTCATAGTAAGGTGTACATGATTTCCCAAGCAAGGAAAATCCATTATGAGGGGGGATTTTGTACATGACCCGCTGAAAACTTACACATACTTTTGGGAATACTTTACTACCCCAAAGCCAAATTTTCAATTTATTTTGGGGTAGTAAAATCCCTTAAAACAAATCCATGTTTGTGGTGCCTGGAGAAGGTATTGAAGTTTACATTACAGAAAAAATTACCCTGCCATGTTACATTGGCTAGGATACCCATGTGCTTTTGTGTAGACCCCTCTATGCTTGCGAGGATTATGGCTGTTAATCTGTATATTACTGTGATGATAATAACGTACTGTAAGTACTAACGGCTGTGAAGGTTAAACATCAGCAAGAAACAATGAAAGCATTTAAGTTTCTCAGCCATTTCTATGAAATGGAGTCTGCACCCCCAAGTGTGGAAATGGTTGCATACAAGCAATGACCGATTCTTCGTATTCTTTGGTGATCACTCGAAGTCAAGTAAGATTGCCTTCCATAAACACTGTTTTAACAGTGAGTCCGTAAGTGACTGTGGAGGCCAATTCTGGACCTACATGTCCTTTCACGGTGGGGACATTGGTTTCCGGGTGGGAGTTGATCACGGTGTGGATTTGCCAAGCGTGCCTTCCTCTTAGCACTTTTCTCCCTTGCGTCCTGAGTTTGAGTGTCTCCAAAGCCCATGACACCTTTAGTAAAGGCTGTTCTCCAACTGGAGGGATCGCAGGCCAGCGTTTCCAGTTGTCAGTGTCTATACTACATTTTTTTAGATTTGCCTTGAGACAGTCTTTAAACCTCTTTTGTTGACCACCAGCATTACGCTATTTTTAAGTTTGGAATAGAGCAGTTGCTTTGGAAGACGATGATCAGGCAACTGCACAACATGACCAGTCCAACGAAGTTGATGTTGAAGAATCATTGCTTCAATACTGGTGATCTTTGCTTCTTCCAGTACACTGATATTCGTTCGCCTGTCTTCCCAAGTGATGTGTAAAATTTTTCGGAGACACCATTGATTGAATCTTTCGAGGAGTTGGAGATGGCGTTTATTAGTGGTCCATGTTTCACAAGTATACAGTAAGGTTGGTGGTACAATAGCTTTGTAAACAAGCATTTTGGTTTCCCTGCAAACGTCCCGGTCCTCAAACACTCTGCACTTCAATTGGGAGAAAGCTGCACTCGCAGAGATCAGGCGATGCTGGATTTCAGCATCAATGTTGGCCCTTGTGGAAAGATAACTGCCCAGGTAGGAGAAGTGATTGACATTTTCCAACGTTACACCATTGAGTTAGATTTGTGGCGCTGCAGAGGGGTGATTTTGTACTTGTTGGTGTAGCACTTTGGTTTTTTGGATGTTGAGTGATAGGCCAAGCTTTTCGTAATCTTATGCAAATATATTTAGGATGGTTTGGAGGTCATCCTCTGAGTGTGCTTGATCTCTTGAGCTTATTTTAATCCACCAGTGTTTTTTAGTTCTCTGGTTCTTCTTTGAACCTCAGCCTTAGCACTGGCACAGGTTTTTTTCTTAGTGGCACAGTTTCTATCTCTTTGCCAGATCTGAAAGGCCTTCCTTTTCTTGTCAAATATGTGTTCAATCTCACTGTCATTCTCATCAAACCAGTTTCTGGTGTTTCTTGGTTTGGTGTCCAATAGTTTATTCACAGGCTGCAATAATGCATGTTTTTAGTTTGGTCCAGTGTTCCTTCATGCTATCAGGAAATTCTGAAAACGGATGGTCCTTAATGGGATCTTGAAGGCCTTGAGTGTTCATTTTGTGCCTTGGTTTCCTTTCTTGAATCCTGCGTCAAGGTATAATCTTGATAGCCATCGTGGAGCGTATTAGTTGGTGATCTGTCCAGCAGTTGTCGGTGCTCGTCATAGCTCTGGTAAAGAGCACATCACAGCATCTTTAGCATGGACAATAACATTGTCTAAGAGGTGCCAGTGGTTTGACTGAGGATGCCTCCATGAAGTTTCAAATTTATTTTTCTGTTGAAAGATTGTGTTGGCAATAACAAGGTTGTGCGCTACACATATTGTCAAAAGTAAGATTCTGTTCTGGTTGCTGTTACCAATTCCTTTTTTCCCAATAATCCCAGGCCACAGATCAAAATCTCACCCAACTCTTGCATTAAAATCACCCAGGAGGATAATTTTATCTTCCTTAGGTGTCTCTGATAGGACAGTATCCAGCTGAGAGTAAAATCTTTAATGTCTTCATTGGCATCCAGTGTTGGTGCATAAGCGCTTATAATAGTAGCATCCAAAAGACATGCGATTGCATATGGCGATGAACCTGGAAGTGACCTAAAAACATTGCTCAGCATGTCACGAAAAGACTGTAACAGGGATGGGATACACTTATACATGCTACTCCAGTGTATGTGGGGGCCGGTAATGGAACCCCCGCATGAAATGGTTGTCAACTTTATTAAGAGTTGCCATTAAAATTAGGCCAGACTCTTAAAATGGAGACTGCGTCTAAACAGAGATTACGGCCCCCTCACTTGGTATAGGCAGCTGGCCTATAATCCAAGTCACCAACTAAAAGAATGCTATTGCCACCAGCATTCGAGATTACCATGGATATTTGAACTTCTAAAAGATAAATGTGTTGTGCTTTTAAGGTATAATTGCTGGCAAAATAGAGCATGAATCCTATTTCAAAACAAAACAAAACAAAATATAGATGCAATTTGACCTGTTCCAGCCTAGAACACTCAGATTTCCAAGAAGACAACTTACATCTTCAATTTGTTGTTTCAAGCTGTCAATCTTTAAACGATACCTCTTTAGAAGGGCATCCTCATCCGTAACATACTTTATTATAGGGCGGTTTTTCATTTTTTTGGCTGTATTCGCAAACTAGGAGAGATAGGCACATGGAGTCAGAACCGCTCTTTGAAGGAGAAGTCAGAAAAAATGACATTTGTGTAAAATCTCTTCGAAAATTACAGAAGTATGGATCATAAAAATCAACATTTGCTATTACAGTAAATACAAATGGTACCCATTAAACGAAATGTTGCAGCGTACCTTCACCTCCCCACAGAAGAGATAAGCCTAGGTTAACCAACCTGGTGTCTTCCAGATGTTGTTGAACTACAACTTTCATCATCTGACCATGTTGACCACGGCTGATGGGAGCTGGAGTCCTCCAACATCTGGAGGGCAACAGAGAAGCTGTCAGGAGCTCAAGTAGGCCATTCCCCCCACCTTTCCTTTTCCACCTGATATTCAAGACTCCATGACTACCATGTCTTCACAAGCTCCCTTTTTAAGAGTTTGAGGGTTTGCCGTCAGTATCCAACCCACCTATTAGAGAAAGTGCTACACTACTTCCCTTTGAAGGTGAAGTCTGATTTTCATAGTTCTATAACTGCAGATACATATACCAGAACAAAGCATGCCAGTTTAAAGAGAGGGGGGAAATACCTTCTTGCCTACTTGTTACTTGGGACAAAACTTTTGGGGGAAGGAAACGGACCTGTATAGTTTTACCTGGAGGGTTTGAAGCGTTTCTTCAAACGATGTCAGAATGACCGTGAAAATGATAACAGTCTTAGAATTGCCACCAAGTGTGCAGAAGCCATGTTAACGTACTGTCTCTGTAGTTGACGTAGGCTCTGGTGAAGGAGGATGATCAAAAAGGAGTAGGAAAGACTTTACATATTAAGTAGAGGAAAAACTGGCCCAAGAGCCAATCTTTTACATCTAGGACAGAGACAACCAATGTGGTGCCTTCCGAAGGTTGTTGGATGACAACTCCCATCAGGCCCAGACAGATGACCAATGGCCTGGCGGTGGAGGGAGTTGTAGCCAAACAACCTAGGAATGGCACTGCCTTGGCTGCCTGGCCTAAGATCACGTGAGAACACTTTTCAATACAGCACATGCTAAAGAACCCTTCTTAACTGAATTGTCCTTACCCACTCTGCTCTTCACAAAGGTTCTTGATCACTTGGCTCAAGATGGAGAGGCTCTGGTTTACATTGAGGCCTTCTTGGAGATGGATCCCTAGGCATTAAACATCAGTTTTTTTATTTTCAGACAGTTCCTTCTACAAAAGTTCTTTTGCTACCATATTGGGAGTTAACATAGTCAAGAGTTCCTGAATTTGGTTGATTTCTTCTTCATTCTCCATTCTCCCCCCTTCCCTTCTGTATTGTTCTTACCTGCCCTTTAGGCACTTTATACGTGTGAAATAACAATACTGGTCATTATCCTGACAGAAGGCAATATCGGCAGAATGGGGGAGGCAATTTTCAGCGATTCCCATTCTGTCCTTAAATCTGCTCTGGGTGATTCCCCAACCCTCTGCAGATGATCAAAGAGCACAGGGGCACAGGGTCCTGCGTAGGGTGAATGACCCGAAAAATATTATCTCCCCTGTTCTGCCAACAGATTCCTTCTGTCAGTGAAATGACAGCATTGGAGACACCCAATAAGACTTCAGCATTATTAGTGGTATGATGAATTATGCCATTTAACTCAGAAACGTTGAATAACTTCAGCCAAAAGGAGGAAGATAACGCTAGAAGGCCTATAACCAAATATTATAGTCATTAAATGTATATACCGTTGGAAAAACGCCCTGGGGGTGCCAGCAAGCCCCCAAAACTCTGAGCGTCCTCTGGTACACACAGCTCTGGAAAAGGCATCTCCCTTCTCTTACAGTGCACTTCTAGCAACATATACTAGCTGGTATATGCACACTAATCTTCCGGCATAACACAGCAAGAGTGAGTGAGTCATCATAGAGCTAAGCTACTATTTACACACTATGTACAGACAAAAGCATAATGGCGTCACTTCTCTCCAGCTCTGAGAGAACAAACAAAGAAATAAAAGCGAAAGTACAGTGTAATAGTGCCTGCAGCGGAAGAGGTAAGACCGTCTTCCTTTCCCAGACTCGTCCCAGACAGGCATGTGATTTACAACAATCTCATCTGCAGCATTGGAGGAGTGAAATTGCTAACATATACTACCCTTCATTCAAGGATCATGGGGCAGTTTTACAATGGTCTCTGCAGAAGCAGAGATGAGGAATTTGAGGCCCTCCATGTGTTGTTGGAAGACAACTTCCAGCATTGCTGACCACTGATCATACTGGCTAGGATTGCTAGGAGTTCGTATGCAACTTCTACAGCACTACAGGTCCCTCATCCTTGCCGTAGAGAAGTTAGATTTTTGTGCAAGAATCTACCAGTTGGGAATGTAACATCTGCATCAGTCTTGTGTTCCAAATGTTACGAATTTTACTGTTAAGCTGTAAATGGCTTACATAAATAAGAGCAAGCATGCCCAAGACCCTGGGGGTAGGAATTACTTGTGGGTTGTTGGTTTTTTTTACATGTTTTACAAGTTAGGATTTAGCAGATTACCAGAAAAGCTTGATCATCATCAGCTACATACCTTCAGCACCTGTTTGGGTAGCTCTTGCCAAATCTACCAAATTCTGAAAATTCAAGTAAGACTGTGTTAGACACCATTCTCACACAAGATCTATTCAAATCACCTATTGATTGAACAACAATTCCAAACAGTGGCAGATAAAAGCCTGAGAAAAAAATGCAAAGCTATTAAGCAGTTAGCTAACTTTAGGTCAACTTTAAGAAAAAGATTGTAATCAATTCAGAAGCAAAATGGGCAAAGTCTAAGTAGGCAATTGTCAACAACATGCTGACTTCCAGAATTTTACATTTCCTGTTACAAGGCCACGTGGGAGCTTTGGCACTGACTTGGAAAGTTAACAATGGTTACTTACACTGATGTCTTCACGAACAACCAAGGGTTTCTTTTGCCGTATACTGCTGCACAGTAGGTCCTCAACTGTATTACTGTGGATTTCCATGTATGATGCACGGAGTAGGAACTCCCTGTCAGGAATCTGAAAAAGTAAAGAGCATGCATGCATCAGCATCCCTAATTATGGAGAACTAATGTAACATGGCTCCCTGCCCACCCCCCCCCCATCCAATGCCATCACTAAAACATTCCCACTGCCTTTTGAACTATACTATAGATGGGGAACTATGGACCTCCAAATGATGCTGCGCTGCAGCTCCTATCAGCCCCAGCTAGCATAGCTGATGGATGTGATGGGATCAGACTCCAACAACATCTGAAGAGCAACAGAGTTTCCATCCCTGATCTCTATATTGGTTCCACTCACAATACTTATTGGCCAACAAGATCATTATGTGGGAAATGGAAACTGTTGTATAGTGGCTGCACAGCCTTTTCTCCTAAGTGGAGATAGGAAATCATCAAAGCAGGTTCAATATGCAGTTTTGCAGCACTAATGTGGTATCTGAAACAAAGTTCAGTTAGTAGAAAAACTTACTCCTCAAATGCTATTGAAAACATCATTGATGGCCATTGGTAAGATTCCTGGGCAATCTTTGGTGCCCAACATTGTGTAAGTTTTCCCCGAAGCAGTTTGGCCATAGGCAAAAATAGTTCCTAAAAGGAAAAGCAGTGGTTAGCTCAGACTACTACCCACATACAGTGCAAGCATTGAAATGTGTTGATGTTTAATGTACCATTATATCCCTGAACAGCCGACTTGATAACAGAAGCAGCCACCCCTTTGTAGACTTCGGTATTATCTGAAGAATGAAACACCCGATCTTAAAAAAAAAAAAGGAGAAATGATTCAGTTCACAGAAATCAAACAGCATCTTCAGGATTTGTCAAATTGCCAACTTGTAAGCTAGACTGAAAGAAGCATACCTGGCTGCTTTCAAAAAGTTCTTTGCATGTTTTTATGGTATACCAATATTTATGTACTGTATTTTTCGCTCCATAAGACGCACCTGACCATAAGGCGCACCTAGTTTTTAGAGGGGGAATCCAAGAAAAAAAAGTATTTTTAAAGGGAGCACTGAGCAGAGCCTGGGATGCATACAGGCTCTGCTCAGTGCTCCCTTTCACGAGCCGCATGGAGCGTGTGTGCAGCGCTTGCAGGCTTTTCCCCGAGGAGGGAGAAAAGCCCCCAAGAGCCCCACACACACTCCGCACGGCTCTTGGGGGCTTTAGCAGGAGGTGGGGGAAGGGACAGAGTGCATGGCTCTGTCCTTTCCCCCACCTCCCACAAAAGCCAGGGATAGCCGCGCGAAGCCAGAAGCAAGAACAGCTAGAGGGAGTGCTGCAATCCCGCTGGCTGTCCTGGCTTCTTGCTTGGCCACGCGCAGCCTCTCCCAGGCAAGGGGAGCCTTCATTGGTTTGTTTGTAAACAAACAAACCAACAAACCCTAAGAGGGTTTACAAAGTACTTCAGTGTTTATCAAGTGCTTACCAAAGGTAAAAGATTTGGTCCCATCAAGCTGAGATATGGTGCATTCTTCAGTTTTCCAGATAATACTCTCTTCCTCCGCAAGGTCTGCATTCTCGCTTAAGGAACAAAACACTGTTAGAGATTCCAGAGTATAGAGAAATTGATGGTGTTAAAGAAATACTTATACCCACGCTAATCTAATTGTCTGGTCCTGAGAGTATATCTAAAGATGTTTGCAGCTGGACTTAACATTATGACAATGTGTAAGTTATATTGAATAACTTGCTGTGCAGAGCATGTGCAAAGTGCATTGTAAGTACATATTTGTATCCAAATTTAAGGGTTGTGGAACCAGTCCTAAGAATGAAGCACCTGTGAGTATGCGTTTGCTTTGTCCCTCTGAGAACAACTTTTTAGTCGGACTTCCGGGATGGCGCCATCGGCAATGGCGGATTCCCTCTAACTTGGAGGGGACTGGCTCTGCGGAAATCGGGTCTATACTGCTACGGCGCAGCGGGGACCCTTCAAAAATCACAGGCGGGTGAAGCCTGTGACCGTGGGACTCGGCGGGCACCTTTTGCGCGCCCCCAATCGGTGAAGGAATCCAGTTTAGGGCTCCGGAGCGGAGCGGGGAAGTGGCGCTGTGCTGTGAGTCATCTTCTTCTTCTGTGGAGTGAAGCCGCGTAGTCGTTGCCGGGGAGCGCTGCCTTCTTCCTGAAAATTTGGCACTAAAACAACGATCCGTGAGTAGGTCAATTTCGGAATTAAAGGAACTGTATAAACGATTTGGCACCGAATGCGGAGAGGCATAAACAGGAAGTCTGCCTTCCGTTCTTGTAAATGGAGTAAAGCAATGAACTTATAAGCGGAAACCTCAAAGGACGTTCCTAAGGATTACAATCCGAACATCAAACAAGCGATTTCCCCCCTTTGATGCAGGGGAGGAGGGGGGAAAGGATTTGAATGGTATTTCCCTGCAAAAAGAGAGAGCAAGAGCAGCTAAAATCCACTGCTCAAATCCCTGAGACCGGCTCCCAGTGAACAGTAAAAATGCCGTATTGGGAAACGTGCTGTTGATGAGAGTACTTTTTCTTTTGACAGTTAACTCTGCGTCGGAGGATACAACTAAGACACTGACTGGTTTCTCCTGATTTCAAAGTATCAGGAAATAACTGAAATAGAAACTGTTGTCCTTTTGAGACTGGGGGGCGAAAGGGAAAAGTAAGTTACCTTAAGACAGTGTTTCCCAACCTTTTTTGGGCAAAGGCACACTTGTTTCATGAAAAAAATCTCGAGGCACACCACCATTACAGCCCCGTGACGTCAGCGCGCAGCGTCACGCCGGGAGGGACGCACGAAAGTGTAAGTTTCAATTTTTTCCCCTCCCCCTTGCCTTCCTTCTGTGCCAACCGCCAAAAAGCCAAGAAAAAAGCCAAGACTTTAGGGCAGCAGGTCGACACGGAAGAAGCTCCTACCTAAGGACAGGTGCGACGGCCGTGTCCTCTTCTGCCACACTTGGCAGCCCTGCCTCACGGTCGTGACTCCCACCCTGATTTCTCCCCGCAGGTCGAGCGGCACAGGCAGCCCAATGTGTCCAGCCCAGACACAAGCCCCGCTTCCCCACTCTAGATCCTGAATGCGACCAAGTGCTCTGGACTCCCGAGCAGGGTGGGAAAGAGGACTCGCATCTGGTAGCCTCCGGGCTCCTCGCCTGCTCGAGGGATGGCATTGCAGGCAAGCTGCCGGCCGTCGCCATCGCCGCCCCCTCATGCAAGTGGACCTGCCCGGAGTGGTGGGCCGGGGGAGGCTCGCTCTCTGTGGGGATGTGGCCCGCACGCGCGGCCCCGCTTCCTCCTGCCCAGGGCTGAGCTCCTTACCCGCAATCTCGGTCTCGTGCACGCGGATCCCACTTATTCTGAAGCTCGCGCCACTAGCCGGGGCTCTCACACTGTGCCAGGGCGAGGCGGCGTGGCCCACTGACGTCATCGCGGCTCGCCGCCGCCCTCGACTTCCCTGTTCCCTCCCCTCCCTCGGGTCGCCGTGGTTACCGAGGACTGCAAGCTGCTCGGGCGAGCGTGGGGCATTAAGTGGGAGAAGGAAAATTAAAATTAAAACTCGCCTGAAGGCCGCCTCTCCGGATACAGTGGTGCCTCGCAAGACGAAATTAATTCGTTCCGCAAGTCTCTTCGTCTTGCGAGTTTTTCGTCTTGCGATGCACGGTTTCCCATAGGAATGCATTGAAAATCAATTAATGCGTTCCTAGGGAAACCGCCTTCAGACCAGGTCCGGGGACAGTCTGTCCCCCGACCTCTTCTGAAGGCTGGGGGGGGGGGGGACAAGGGCTTTTCTTCCCACCCCCAGCATTTTAAAAAACCCCGGGACAGCGGAGGACTTCTCCGCTGTCCGGGGCAATCTTAAAATGCTAGCGGGCGGCATTTTAAAATCGCCCGGGACAGCGGAGGACTTCTCCGCTGTCCGGGGCGATTTAAAAGCCCCTGGGAAGGCAGGCAGGGGGGACAAAGATTTTCGCCCCCCGCCCGCCTTCAGAAGAGGTCCTGGACCTCTTCTGAAGGCCGGCGGGGGTCAAAAGTCTTTGCTCCCCCCTGCCTGCCTTCCTGGGAGAGCGGAGAAAGGCAGTGCATTTCTCCGCTCTCCCGGGAAGGCAGGCAGGGGTGAAAGTCTTTGCTCCCCCCCGCCTGCCTTCAAAAGCCGTCGGGGACAGCGGAGAAACGCGCTGCCTTTCTCCGCTCTCCCGGGAAGGCAGGCGGGGGGGAGCAAAGACTTTTGCCCCCCGCCGGCCTTCAGAAGAGGTCCTGGACGTGGGCGGGGTGAAAGTCTTTGCTACCCCCTGCCTGCCTTCCCGGGAGAGCGGAGAAAGGCAGCGCGTTTCACCGCTGTCCCGGATGGCTTTAGAAGGTCCTTGACCTCTTCTGAAGGCGGGCGGGGGCAAAAGCCTTTGCTCCCCCCTGCCTGCCTTCCCGGGAGAGCGGAGAAAGGCAGCGCGTTTCTCCGCTGTCCCGGACGGCTTTTGAAGGCAGGCTTTTAAAAGCCGTCCGGGACAGCGGAGAAACGCAGCACGCCCTTCCCGCTGCCCCCGACTTGGCTGGAAGGCTGGCGGGGGGAGAAGCCTGCTCCTCCCCGTCGCCAGCCCCGCAAACTCGGGGGACAGCGGGAGAGGCGCAGCGCGCCCTTGCCGCTCCCCCCGACTTGGCTGGAAGGCTGGCGGGGGGAGAAGCCTGCTCCTCCCCATCGCCAGCCCCGCAAACTCGGGGGACAGCGGGAGAGGCGCAGCGCGCCCTTGCCGCTCCCCCCCCGACTTGGCTGGAAGGCTGGCGGGGGGAGAAGCCTGCTCCTCCCCGTCGCCAGCCCCGCAAACTCGGGGGACAGCGGGAGAGGCGCAGCGCGCCCTTGCCGCTCCCCCCCGACTTGGCTGGAAGGCTGGCGGGGGAGAAGCCTGCTCCTCCCCGTCGCCAGCCCCGCAAACTCGGGGGACAGCGGGAGAGGCGCAGCGCGCCCTTGCCGCTGCCCCCGACTTGGCTGGAAGGCTGGCGGGGGGAGAAGCCTGCTCCTCCCCATCGCCAGCCCCGCAAACTCGGGGGACAGCGGGAGAGGCGCAGCGCGCCCTTGCCGCTCCCCCCCCGACTTGGCTGGAAGGCTGGCAGGGGGAGAAGCCTTCTCCTCCCCATCGCCAGCCCTGCAAACTCGGGGGACAGCGGGAGAGGCGCAGCGCGCCATCCCGCTGTCTCCCGACATGGTTTGGAGGCTGGCGGAGGGCTTCCTCCTCCCCCAGCCCCGCAAGCTCCCAGAGCGATGCCAAAGCTGCGCGCAGCTTCGGCATGGCTCTGGGTCCCGTTCTGGGGGAGGGGGAAGCTCGGGCTTCCCCCGCCCCAGCCCCACGCCTGGCGGTGGGGGAATAATTTTTTCCCCCTTTATTCCCCCCCCCCCGCCAATTTTTCCCGCGGCACACCAGGCAACGTCTCGCGGCACACTAGTGTGCCGCGGCACACTGGTTGGGAAACACTGCCTTAAGACATTACTGACTGTTGCTGCTACTGTGTCCCCCTCCAAAGTAAAATTAATGAATGTTAGAGTAATGTTGGATTGAAATTAAGTGGTTTCTAGCTAATGGTATAAAAGAATATGAAAAAATGGTTTTTTATAAGTAAAAATTTAATGTTATAATAATTTAAGATTAAAGATCTGGGTAGAATAAAGAGGGAAAGAAACTGCTGAGCTAATAAATTGAACTGGAATACAAAAAAGAGAGGTATGAGGAGGTCCGGGAAATAAGTAAATGAAAAATAATGTGATGAAAGGATTGATTGTTTTTAACTATTTTTATTTTGTATTTTGTATTTTTTCTTTTTCTATTTTGTAATGTAAAAATCCTAATAAAAAATTTATATATATAAAAAAAAAGAGAGCAGCTTTTTAAATCCAGCTCCTATTTGATTAAATGCCCTTTTAGAAGTACGGCTGCGCACCGACCCCTCTCGCTCTCCAGGCTTCAGCGAAAGCAACGCGTAGTCTCCGGAGCGCGGAGGGAGCGCTCCCTCTGCGCTTTGGAGGCTTCACATTGCTTTTGCCAAGGAGCCTGCATTCGCTCCATAGGACGCACAAACATTTCCCCTTCATTTTTGGAGGGGGAAAAGTGTGTCCTAGAGAGTGAAAAATACACTATTTAACTTATATGCCACCCTCTGCAAGGAGCTAAAGTGGCCTTGCACATCTCCCCCCTGCCTCACTTCATCCTCACAAGGACCCCACAAGGTAAGTTAGGCTGTCAGTCAAGTGACTAGCCCAAGCAAGCTACATGGCCGAGCAGGGATTTGCACCCTGGTTTCCCAAACTCCTAGTCCAACGCTCTAACCCCGTGGTTCCCAACGTAGGGGCACACGCCCCACAGCGGGGCAATTTGAGAACGAGTTATCCACAGTCAATGGCCTTTTAGGCTTCCTCCACGTGAATTTGGGGGGTGGGGGTCACTGAATAAGAATTATATGTCACGGGGGCGGGGGCATTAGGATTTTAGAGGTGGGGCATGGTTAAAGAAAAAAGGTTGGGAACCACTGCTCTAACCACTTTAAGGAGAGTGGATATGCAGGGCTGGAAAGACTTTCATGATTAAGTATTTGCAACATCAAATCTATTAACCCGCCCTTCACCATCAAGCCAGGCTTACAGAAATTTAAAAGCCCAGATTCCCCCCCCCCTTTTACCCACGCGCATTTAAAACAGCTGCAGTCGAGGGGGAGTGAAGCAGTTAAAAGCAAATAGAAATAGAGTCGCAGGGAAAAGGTGTGCGCTCTGTTCCCGAGTCAGGCTTCCTTCTCGGGGCTTCGCGTGCATGCCTGGCCAGCCTGTTAAGGTCCCGCGCTTACTTCAGAGTAGACCACTTAGAAACAGCGGAGGGGGGTTACTGCGGAGCAACATGCGGGGGGATTCGCCTGCGCCTTTGGAGAACAACTCCCCTTTCCCAGCCCCAGCAGCTCACCTGGCGGGGAGCGGGCGCACCCGAACGCAGACAGTGACAGCATCTTCCTCGCACATCTCGCCAAAGCACAAAAGACGCCGCTGCTTCCCCCGCCCCCAGGCCGTTTTCTATTGGTCCGCGGGTGACGTAGGCGCGCAGTCCCCGCCCACAAGTTGGACCGTAGTAATGCCTAAGGGGGTGGAAGGACGGGCGAATCGATCTCAGGCGCCAGGACGGGGGGAGGCGATGAGACAAAGAGCGCCCGATCCTGTATAAAGGACCAGAGGGAGTTTCGAGGGATTCGAGCCTCCTTCTTATCTCTCGGGAAATGAGTGAAAAGGAAGGGGGAATACTCCCCTGGCTTCCCCCTTCGCCTTGTTTCCCAAGGGCCGTGGTGGTGTTAGGGTTAAAAAGGTCCCTTCGTTCTCCCCCCCCTCCCCTCCGTCGTCTCTCTTCGGTGGTGTCGGCCAGGCAGGGAAGCCGCTTGCTGATTGGCTGGATCGGATTCTCAGCCTTGCGAGCGCGTTGATTAAATGCGTGCCCTTTAAAGCGCTGATGTTCTTCGCGGAAGAAGCTGCGAAGCCTCTACCCCTTTTTGATTGAGAGCAGGGCCGGATTTACGTATAAGCTAGACAAGCTATAGCTCAGGGCCCCACTCTCTTGGGGCCCCCAAAAAAATTAAAGGAAAAAACACCTGGATGTACATTTCCAGAATATAAGATAAAAAATAAAAAAATAAAACCCAGCCCATCTAATCTTTGTATTCTCTGTATTCTTCACAAGCACAACCAAACTTTTGTGTTTGATCCCTGTTTGTGTAAATATTCATTTAAACATTCCCATTGTTTCTGTACCATAGTTTTAGATTTATGGCTTATTATATCCGTCAATTTTGCAAACTCCAGATACTCACATAGTTTACTTAACCATTCCCTTTTTGTTGGGATGTTATTTCCTTTCCAGTAACTGGCCACCAAAGTTCTCACTGCTGTTGTTGTGCATAGGAATATGTTAATTTTATCTTTGGGGATATCCTTACTCAAAATTCCTAATAAGTATGCTTCTGCCCTTTTGTTATATGAAAACTTTATTAATTTTTTTAATTTCTTCATGGATCCTTTCCCAGAATTTTTTGATCTCTGAACATTTCCACCACATATGGTATAGAGTGCCCTTCATCTTACTGCATCTCCAACATTTATTACTAATCGATCTATTCATTTTTGCTAGTCTGTCTGGTGCTATATACCATCTGTGGTGCATCTTCATATAATTCTCTCTTATTGAATTGCAGGCCGTAAAATTTATGTTTCCCCCAAAAAACTTTTCCAATCTTCCATATCAACTAGATCACATTCCCACTTTAGCATATTCTCTCCTTTTACTTCTTGGTCTATTAAATTATACAGTTTCAAAAGTGTTTTTTTATTATTTTGTAATACCTCTCTTTCTAATTTTGATGTTTTATTCCCAAATCCCCTAATTTTTATATCTTTCTCATATGTAGCCTTAAGTTGGAAATATTCTAGCCAATTTAAATTCTCATTCTTGATCTTATTTCTTCCTTTTCTTTATCTTCATCTTGTTCTTTTCTTTTATATTTCACCTTTAATTTCTTTTCTTCATTGTGAATATTGTTTTGTAGAGGTGCAAATAATTGTAAATACGAGAAGAGGTAAAATGTTTTCTAATTTTCTATTGGTTACATTTATTTTCCTTTTTTGTATACTTGTATTTTTTTCTAATTTGTACTCAATAAAATTAATAATAAATAAATAAATAAATAAATAAATAAAGCTCATCATGTGTCCATCTCCCCGTCCCACTTGGCGGCGTCAGGCAACTTCATGTTTTGTCACATGAAATCAAGGAACATGGAGGCCTGCAGTAACCGGCCCAGCCTCTGGAAGTGCCGTGTATGGTAGGAGAGACTCCACAGCTGCTTTGATCCCTTCGTATTGCAAGAGGCTCTCTGGCGTCTCATGCTTGAGGAGGGTTTCCACCACTGCCTGAGCCTCGAGGTAGTTCCGCCAGTTTGTGTTCCACGTGATGGAAAACTTCAACACAGCCTCTGGAAGAAGGGGTTTGGGGAAGACACGTCAGGAAGGAGTGCAAGTTGCAGGCAGCGTGGCCACCTTGAACCAACACACCTCTCTTGCGAAGCGTGGCCAGGTCTGGGCACACATCTGACCTGCGCCTTTCTTCAAGGCAGGGAAGCAGATCCAACACCCCTCCCCACCTAGTAGAAACAATTAATGAAGGGAGGGGTGACTTAGTTTATTCCAGACTACATGGCTTGCAGGAATGGGTTTTATAATATTTATAAAAGGACAACAACAACAATATGCATTATAATCTTTGCTCTAGTATTACAGAGCTGGTGGAGCTAATTTGAGGCTGTGTACACACCACACATTAAAAGCATTATCGCTTCTCCCCTGTAAGAATCCTGGGAACTGTAGATTACCCTTCTACCACATAGCTACAATTTGTAGCACCCTTTACAAACTGCAATTCCCAGGATTCTTGGGGAGAAATGTGCTTTTAATGCCTGTTTTTCCTGCAGCAAGCACGCTCAGCTACCCCTCTGGAAGCTCAATCCCACAGAAAGCTGTGACGGCCACCAACTTGGATGGTTTTATGCAGGAAAGGCTATCAATGGCCACTAGGCACGATGGCTATGCTCTACCTCCACAGTCAGTGGCAGTAACGTTTGTGAATAGTAGTTGCTGGAAGATGCAGGAAGGGAATACAGAATGCTCTTGTTTCCACAGGCCTCTGGTTGGCCACTGTGAGAACAGGGTGCTGGACTAGACAGGCCAATGTGGCCTCATCCAGCAGACACTTCTTATGTCCTTACATGGTTCAAGGGTAGAGATTGTGAGAAGGCATCTTCCAAAGCAATCCCACCCTGCAAATAGCTTTGGATCCCTTCTTGCCTCTAGCCTAGCCCTCACCCCTTTTCCTGTTCCCGCTTGAGTCTTCTTTTGCTTGCCACGCCTGCAGGCTCTCTTCTGGCCAACGCTGCCAATGACGGATCTTAAAAACTTGGGGTCGGTGAGATTCGGCAATCGCAGCACCTTGCGCCTGCTGGACCTCCTGAGCGGAGCGGGTTGTGTCTTGCTCCTCGTGAAGTAGGGTGAAATGTGAGGAGTGTTGCAAGCCGGTGCAGAGGCAGAAGGTCTGGCCGAGATGGTAGAGCACGGCTTCTCTGTCAGGGGCTTCTTCCTAACCCAGTGGAACACCAGTATCATACGCCTCTTAGATGGGTTGGACATGCTGAAGAAGGTGCTGGAGGCCCAAAGACCAGGGTGACTTCAAAGCAGAGGATGCAGCAGGCAGTTCCCTATCAATGGTGCCAAATCCAAGCAAATGTTAGCTCCAGTCCTGTTAAATCGATCCAGCAATTATGAACGTTAAAGAAGGGATTAATTCCTCAGGCAGTATGAAAAGACTTTCTGTGGCTTTTTAATAGCTGGGAGCCCCCAACTACTGTCACTGTTGACAGCCTGTTGCCCCTTCACTCTGCTTGAATGGGTTATGTCACAATGGTTCCTTCATCAGGTGTTTGTGAGCATGAAAATGCTGTTGGGAGTTTCAGCAATGAAGGCTCAGGCATAACATACCGTTTGAAAGTCTGAACATTTCCTTTTTTTAATTTAACAAAATGTATATACAGTGGTGCCCCGCAAGACGAACGCCTCGCAAGACGGAAAACCCGCTAGACGAAAGGGTTTTCCGTTTTGGAGGCGCTTCGCAAAACGAATTTCCCTATGGGCTTGCTTCGCAAGACGACAGCCCATAGGGAAATCTCCAGGACAGCGGGGAAACGCAGCGCGTCTTCCCCACTGTCCTCGGACCTCCTCCGAAGCCTGGCGGCGGGGCGGGAACACCTCCTCCCGCCGCCGCCGGGCTTCGGAAGGCTCCTCCGAAGCCGGGCGGCAGGGCGGGAAACCTCCTCCCGCCGCCCGGCTTCGGAACGATGCTCCGAAGCCGGGCGGCGGGGAGGGAACACCTCCTCCCGCCGCCCGGCTTCAGAACGATGCTCCGAAGCCGGGCGGCGTGCGGAGAGGTCCGCGAAGCCTGTCCAGGACAGCTTTTGAAGGCGGGGGGGGGGGAGCAAAGACTTTCGCCCCCCGCCCGCCTTCAGAAGAGGTCCTGGACCTCGGGCGGGGGGCGAAAGTCTTTGCTCCCCCCTGCCTGCCTTCCCGGGAGAGCGGAGAAAGGCAGCGCGTTTCTCCGCTGTCCCGGATGGCTTTTGAAAATCTTTGCTCCCCCCCGCCTGCCTTCAAAAGCCGTCCGGGACAGCGGAGAAACGCGCTGCCTTTCTCCGCTCTCCCGGGAAGGCAGGCAGGGGGGAGCAAAGACTTTCGCCCCCCGCCCGCCTTCAGAAGAGGTCCAGGACCTCTTCTGAAGGCTGGCGGGGGGCAAAAGTCTTTGTCCCCCCTGCCTGCCTTCCCAGGGGCTTTTAAATCGCCCCGGACAGCGGAGAAGTCCTCCGCTGTCTCGGGGCGATTTTAAAATGCCGCCCGCCAGCATTTTAAGATCGCCCCGGACAGCGGAGAAGTCCTTCGCTGTCCCGGGGTTTTTTAAAATGCTGGGGGTGGGAAGAAAAGCCCTTGTCCCCCCCAGCCTTCAGAAGAGGTCGGGGGACAGACTGTCCCTGGACCTGGTCTGAAGGCGGTTTCCATAGGAACGCATTAATTGATTTTCAATGCATTCCTATGGGAAACAGTGCATCGCAAGACGAAAAACTCGCAAGACGAAGAAACTTGCGGAACGAATTAATTGTGTCTTGCGTGGCACCACTGTACCACTTTTATCATTTATATACAAATTATTAGAAGAGTAAGTTAAAAATATACTGTGTTTATTCACTTATAGGCTAGTTTACATACTTTATTCCTTCTTATACTCCTATCCCACCTTTCCTCCACAGAGCATACACACTTCAGCCTCCAGCTTCTCCATTTTATCCTGACAGCAATATTGTGAGCTAGGGCCATACCTCAGTGGTAGAACAACTGCTTAGCATGCAGAAGGCATCAGGTTCAGTCCCCAGCATCTCCTGGTGGGACTGGGAGCGCTCCCTCTGCGC